CGTATTGCATGCTGTTGACATATATTATTTTCAGTTCAAACGTTCATACGTTCAAAAACAAACATAGGCTAGGTTATTAAACCAACAATTTTGTTACCTAGCCTATGTTTGTTTTTGAACGTATTTAAGCGTTGTCTTGACACAAGCGAATATCTAGAAATATCAATGGACGAAATTGCGACCATACTTCTTTCACATAAAGAACTTCACAAGGAGTTTGCCAAGTGAACAATAAAAAAAATCTGTCGTTTACTTGTTTTTGAAATCACACTCCTTGCTTCTATCTTCTTTTAAATATAAACACGAATTGATGTTCATTAGTCACGCTTAAACTCGGGAACGGCTGAACCAATTTGGCAGTTTTTAAATACTCGTAAAGTAATATTTTTTATGACCGTCCTACGAAAAGATATTTTGTTACCATACCGTAAAACGCGACAAATATATAGATACAGAGTGAGTATATTGAGGATTTATTATCCATACTATTTATATTTTAATTTTTAATTGATTTTTGTATGTTTGAACGCGCTAATCCCCGGAACTACTGGTTCGAATTGAACAATTATTTTTATGTTCGTTAGTTTATTTATCAAGGAACGCTATAGGCTATAAAACATCACGCTACGTTATATATATGAGCCGAGCAGCGGGTAAAACCCCAAGACAGTAGCTAGTCTATTATAAAGTAATTCTATTAATGAACACCAATTAGCAGGCCTGCTTACTAATCATGAAGAAACGAGCTTAAAAATACTGAAAATCAATTTCAATTCTTTTTATCTCTAAATCCCGCTGAAAATAGATTTTTAATCCTCTTACGAACCTTAGTATTGATAAAAATCTTCTGAAAACTGTATTACGAATCATTTAGGTTCTAAAATTAAGACGGGATTAAGACTTAGTATTCGTTAAGGAAAATAAAATTATATTTTTCTAAACTGAGTTTTAAAGATCTTATTATTAAACAGTAAAATTTTATTTAGTTTTTCTTTTTTCAATGGTACTTTCTTATATTAAGAGTGTTAGGGATTAAAAAAAAAATTCTAAGCTAAGTAAAATATGCTATTGGGAAAAGTAGGAATGACTCTACTATTCCGGCGGGTTCTAGGCTAGTGCGAGGATCCAGCGGGCGCGATCAAGGCGCCATTGAGGCGGAAGACGTTTGACCAAAGTTTTTATTTATAATTATAATTATAAGATAATGTGGTGGTGGCCTGGATGTTAAGGCACCCGCTTCTCATGCATGAGGGTGTGGTGAGACATACGGTGAAGGTAAACATCGTGAGGAAACATGGACTTAATTCTATTTGTAAGTTTGAAAACGCCAACCCGCATTGAGCAAGCGTGGTGATTAATGCTTTAACCTTCTCCGTGTGAGAAGAGGCCTTTGCTCAGCAGTGGACACTTATAGGCTGATGATGATCATGATGACTTATAAGATATTATAAAGAGGGAAAAATTTTAAGTTTTTATGTAGGCGATAATCTTTGGAACCGCTGGTCGGATTGCCAAAACTCTTTCACTGATAGATAGCTACAATGTTCCTGAGTGCTATAGGCTATAAAACACGCTAAGATCTAATGGAGACGACCAGTCGGTGAAACAATAAAAAGACAATAACTTACATATCTCGTACTTCGTGAAGGTACTTTTCACATAAATAGGTTCATAGTACAAAAGTGCAGTTTTTTTTTAAATACATGTCTACCCATAATTATATTTATACAAACATTTTTTCTTGATACAGTAAGCATGACATCTGGTTTCTATTGTTACTACTGAAGTTCTTCAAATATTTGAATGCCGCAAGGGAATTTTAATTTTGAATTTCATCCTTTGAAACTGAAATTCAAATCTTTGAAACTTGGAAATGTGATCGCTGAAATATTTTACATCAAAAGGGATCGTTTTATGCTGTTCAGGATCACAATAATGAAATGTTTGTTGTTTTGTTGACAATTTTTTTATGTGTTAATTTAAAAGAAAACTATCTAAGTAAGAGCCCCATTGTCACTTGAAACTAGTAGAGATTTTCTCATTTAATTAACTTGTCGTTATTTTCAATAAGTAAGCAATATATGTATGCTAGTAAAATGAACATCAAAACAAAAGGAGCCAAGAATTTAATAACTGAAATAAATATACCTATTAGACATCGTGAGCTCTCGTGCCCGTTTTCCACAGAATCTGTTTACGAAATAAATGTCTTCACCAGAGACATTTTGAGTAACTGTCACAAGCAATAATAAAATAACAATTTCGAGAATCCCCATAGCTTTTCCGAAATACGAAATGTACGGGTTATATTACACGTTCACTCAAACATCGACTGTAAAGTTGAATGGTTAGGGAAGAAATTTATCTGTCGGTCATAACTTTTGCAGTTTTTATTCAAAACATTTAAAATCTTGACTTGCTTGTGTTGAGTTTCCTCTTAAAGGGAAGACGGAGGATTTTCATGAATAAGAAAATGGATAGTTATGTAAGTAAAAATTACTATGTAATTCTCTTTTATCTTATTTCTACTTTATCTATACGTTTTCAAGAAAAATGAAAGAGAATTTTATGTAATTCAAAATTGGACTGGTAAGTAAAAAAGTAGACTAGTATGACTGCTTGGTTGTCGCGGTGGCTGGGCAACCGACTGCCATACACCGTGTCACGAGTTTGATTTTCGCACATAACAACTCTTTGTGTCATCCACAAATTGTTATTCCGGGTCTGGGTGTGAAGTGACTGTAACGTTTTCATTTAAAAAAATAAATAAGTGTGCCAACCTTACTTAAGACTGTGGATCCAGATTCATTAATAATGTTTAATTTTTTATGATAATTAATTTTGTATACAAGATAGTTTCATTTAGATTTTGAATATCCTATTATAAGATATAATTTCGATTGCAGCCAGTCGGCGAATATCCATTGTGTTATCGAGTCGGAACCTCCTTTTATTTTGCTCCACCTACTCCATACTTCTAGCTTTTGGTCAATAAAATATAGATTTGAAATACTTAGTACTTAATAAATATACATTTATCGAGCCACGTTCACACATCATCATTCGCCTATAAGTGCTGACTACTGAGCAAAGGCCTCTTCTCACGCGGAGAAGGTTTGAGCATTAAGGAGATTGACTATTTCAAACTTATAATTATAAATTTTAAATCCATGTTTGGGAGAGGCATGCTTCGGCACGAATGGGTCGGCTCGTCCGAGAGGCCGTGGTATCACTCCACCACGGCCTCACAGAAAACCGGCGGCCCAATCCTTCCCACTCGCCTATCCCTATGTTTATAAATAAATAAAAATCCCTTCCCAATACTTAAACATCCGCTACCCTTATCCCCAAAGGGAAGGCAACGCACTCGTAACTTCTTTGATGTTACGGGTGTCTATGGGCGGCGCCGATTGCTTACCATCAGGTAATCCGATTACTCTTTTGCAGGACTTACCCCAAAAAATATATAATCAGAAATTATAAGTTCGTAGTCCAGTCTTTTTAGACTTGATGTCTAAATAATCATAGAAATTACTACTTGCCAGGTTACGCACCCGCACCCTCATGCGCCGGAATGAGATGGCGATTAAGGCGGCCACCTTAATCCTAACCTACTCCGTACTTCTCGCTTTTATCAATAAAACATAGATTTGAAAGACTACTTTATACATATACATTTACAAACCACAATATTTGGTTTGATACGCTCATCTTTCTATCAATCTGTATATCAAGGATTAAGTGCGTATATAAATACATACAGAATACATATTTGTGTGAAAATTATTTCATGGCCCGAGGCTAAAATGCAAATTAAAGGCAAAACTTCATATAGGGCCAACCTACCTACAAGTCAAAGTCAGTTTTACATAAGAAAACAAAATGATTATGGGAACACACGCTCTTAAATAGTTTCTACCTACTGACATATGTATGTGTATGTAGCTACTTCATAGATACTTAAAGTGGAGTTCTACTGTCGCGACTACTATGTATTTTATATTAAAGACGCAAGCAGCACAGTCTTTTATTAAATTGTCTCATAATTAGCTGGTATATCTAGATTCAACAGATACATAGTTCCTATCACGGTTCCTTTAGACCAGGTAGGCAGTCAGGCTATTTGAGAATCGCGCCTAGAATGCCAATTACACATTATGCCATGTATTTCAGTAACTTAAATAACAGGATCTACTTTTATCGCAAAGAAATATGCATTTCACAAAAGCCATTTATTCTATGATAAATTTGTATAACAAATAAATATGATTTATTTAACAGCAAAACTGTTAGTAAATTTTAAAAATGTTTTGTTGGTATAATATATTCTGTCAAAGTAAAACATCCTAATAAAAATTTTATAAGACAGAATCGTGGAGAGAATAATAACTGTAAGTTGAATTCATAAAAAGCAAAGACTAATAAGCATACTTTATTTTGACACTATTTGACGCAAAACAGTCGCAATAGTGAAACCACACCTTAACGAATCAAAGCAAAACTAACATCGTCGCTATAATTTGTTTACAACGAACTTATAAATATGGAAGAGGTCACATGTTGTGGGGGACTGAGACTGAGGGGTCTACGCTTTTACTTAGATCAACAAGACCCCACGTAATATTAATGTCCTAATGGATTTATTGAGCCCTTACTGTTAAAACTAGCCCTCAATTTCACTTTAATTTTCCCTTTTAAAATGTTTATTTTCCACCAGCCTTAAATCTTTTACGGTGACAAAACGGGTCGCTGCGTATAGTTCACATTCAACGATATGCCACTACGTCTCACAATGTCCTCATAATACGATAATAGCCCTATCTCGTACGATGATACAATTTACTGCAATATCAACAAACCTATAAAAATAGCTAATTCAATAACGTGACGTGTCCATTCAAAAGGAAAACAATAGTAAATAATACGAAATAGAATTAACGTTACCTTTATTATAGTGCAGTAAGTCATTGTCGGCGGAACACCACCAGCGAATAACAAAAATGCACATAAGTACGTACATCATACTGATGTGCCTCGGCTCCGTTCAGCTCGATCAACTGAAAGAAATACTGGAAAAGGCAGAGTTAGAGATCTACATTGAAGAAACAATCCCATCTGTGAACCCAAGGTACAAGCTGCATTACCACATCACCCCACCTGTTGGCTGGATGAACGGACCAAATGGTTTCGCGTTCTACAAAGGAGAATATCATCTGTTCTATCAATTCTACCCCTACGACACGCAGTGGGGACCCATGCACTGGGGTCACGTCTCGAGCCCCAACCTAGTGGACTGGAAAACACTCCCCACAGCACTACGGCCGGGCAACGAACAATGTTTCTCTGGCAGCGCTATAGACAACGATGGCATCCTGGTACTCCTGTACACAGCTCACCAATCAATTGAAGACTCACCTTTCTACAACGAATCACAGTTCATGGCGTTCAGTATCGATGGGCTTGACTTCCACAAGTACAAAGGCAATCCGGTTAATATATTTCCTCCAACGGGCACTCAAGATTTTAGAGATCCTAAAATTTGGAAGAATGGAAATTACTGGTATGTGGTCCTCGGTAGTAAAACTGCTGATCACCGAGGAGCAGTACTCTTGTATAGATCTAAAAATTTACTCAGTTGGGAATTCAAAAGTGTTCTAGCGGAATCCAATGGCGGTTTAGGCTACATGTGGGAGTCTCCAGATTTGTTTGAGATTAATGGCAAGTTTATTCTTTTAATTTCCCCGCAAGGTATGGTCAGCCGCGGGGATAGGTTCAAGAACACATATCAAACTGGATACATTGTTGGGAGTTTCAGTTACGAGACATGTCAATTTAAACCCGAGATTAACTTCCAGGAATTAGATTACGGACACGACTTCTATACGACACAAACAACGGAAACAAATGGCAAAAGATACCTAGTGGCTTGGTTCGGTATGTGGGAGTCTTTGCATCCTGAAGATATTGATGGCTGGGTTGGAGCTATGACTCTCATTAGAGAATTGGACCTCGTCGGGAGTCGAATCCTAATGAAACCTGTTGAAGCTATCACTAAACTAAGGCAAGAAACTATCTTAGAAGGAGAATTTCACCATAATTCTACCATTGAATTTGAGAAGGCTGGAGAAGTCATTGTGAACATTGACTTGAGTGAGAACATAGAGCTGGAATTTGTTGGGAATAATGGTGGGGACAGGACTTCTCTGCGGTGGAGCGTGGATGACGGTAAGGTCGTGTTGGACAGAGCTGGAGAAGTCCGACAAGGTATATGGGAGCCACTGGATACCATTACTTGGCGGATCTTCGTAGATGCAAGTTCTATTGAGGTATTTTGTGGTGAGGGGGAACTGGTGTTCAGTTCTAGGGTTTATCCTAATGGTAACTGGCGGGTTATAAACAGAGGCACTCAAGCTCTGCATGTGGTGGCTTATACGTTAAAAAGATTCCAAAATGAGTGACACATCATTGTTTTAGTTTACATGTTGTATGATTTCGTATGTAAATAAAATAGTGGTTAATTGTTTCGTAAACTGCTGTTTACTTTTTTTATATATTTACGAAAACCTAGAAATAATGGGTATTGATATTATATTATATTCAGAAACAGAGATTGCGTCATCTTATAGTATTATACTTTCATCGTTTTCTTATTATTTTTCCTCTGCTACATGATTGATTACATCATTTGTAGATTACTTATAAAACTTGATTGGTATCTGTTTAGCCGTGTTTGGTCGTTTAAATCTTAAAACTACACCGAAATCTAGTAAATACATTGGAACTATGGTATGGTATGAATAATTCTAATAAAACATCAAACCCAAATAGATACAGCTAGATGAAACAGGTTACATTTTGAACAGTTCGCGGCATCGGTACTCGTTTATCTTGTTCAAACATGTCCCCGATTGTGTAGCGTCGGTTTCGAATAACTCAATATTTTTTATCTGTTTTTGTTAGGATTTATCATTCTCTGCATACAACAAATCATAGTTTTGTTTTTCACTGTATCTATGGTGTTTATATATGTAGTTTTTCGGTAAAATAAAATCATTTTAAAACGTCTTTACTCATAACAATGATGTCAGCTTATTACCTATTACTAGGTTTGCAGAGGTAATAAAAAAACAAACCACAATACAAGAGTTGCCGGTCTTTTATGGGCAAATGGGAAGGGATTGGACTTACTTATACAGCGAAACACAACGCTGTGGTTGTTTCACACCGGTTTTCTGTGAAGCCGCGGTATCACCCCGGTTCTTGGGTTTCTCATACTTGAATTTGAATCAAATCAACATGATATGCGTCCGTTACAAACGGACGAGAATACAGCGTAATTAACTCTTAGCTTAACTTAAGAGCCTCGTGGTAGCCTGCCCTAAATGTAACCTAAGTATTTGTTGATAACTTTAAAATTATCAAATATGTTAAGAATGTTCGAGAATTTGTGAAAGTTCTTTAGTGAAGTAAATTGTTATAAGTTTATCGAAAATTTAATTTCTATTTAAAAAAAGTATTTTGCTTTTGTTTTGATTTTATTTTCATTCTTTTTTACTCCTTATTATTTATTTTTTATACGTTTATATCGTTTCTTATTATTTTTTACATTAATTTAATTTGTTGAAATCCGTGTCAAATAATAAAATACATAAAATTGAAAAGTAATACTGTGTGGTAACTTGATTTTTTTTATTTGATTGGTCGGCAAACGAGCTGTCTGATGGTAAGCAATCAGCGCCGCCCATGGACACCCGCAACAGGAGTAACGAGTACGTTGCTGACCTTCTGGTTTTAGAGATTTGGAGATTAATGGATTGGGGTAGGAGAAGGATTGGGCCTCCAGGAACCTTACTCACACGGCGAAACACAACATTGTGGTTGATTCACGCCAGTTTTCTGGGAGGCCGTGGTATAACTCGAATGGGTCGAGCCGACCCATTCGAGCCGAAACTTGGCTCTCCCCACTTGATGCCTAAATTTCCACTCTCTCTACAACTTTAAGTTACACTCACTTATCCTAATTGTCGGTTACGAATTCCAATCAGTGTTTCAATATTCCCTTTCGTATCCAGTGTCGCGTTCATGCACTAAGCATACATTTTAGAATCCACGCTTTTGTTAAGAATTTCTTATAACAATCATGAGAAATTTTAACTTGAATAAACTTTCAAAGGCTCTACCAGTTTCAAGTCGCAACGGGGTTCTTATTTATGATCAGCGTACGCGTTGCGTTGACGTCGTACAAACCTAACCCAAAATTACTATTCAAAAGAAAATGAAACTAGCGATCGCCTGGTCAAAAGACATGCTTGAGGCTAATCGACTTACATGGCATATGTTTACATAATGTTATTGATATATTTTATCATATTATCTGTCGGATCCTGTAACTGACATGAGATGATAAAAAAAATCATGAATTGATAAGGATTTACAATGGCTGTTCATGTGGTATCATGGATATGGATACAAAAGAGATAACCACCAATAAAGATGATTTTGCTTCTTCAGCACTTGAAAAATGGCACTAGAAAACTACATTTGATCCTTTGTATTTTAATACACAAATCAGCTCAACGTGAGACAATGATACTGAGTGATGCATGATTTAAGCGATTTAAACATAACGGTCAAACTGCCATGTAAGTGAGGTAACCAGAGGCCCAATCCTTCTTCCCGTTCAAATTCACCGAAATCCTAATGCACAAAACGCACGGCAACGCGTTTCTAACTAGCCGGGGTGGCGGGGTAAGCGCAATGAGGCACCGCGACCTCGGCCGAGAGCAGGAGAAGGAACAGGGGGGTTTTTAGTCAGTAAGAGTCTGACACTCCCTCCCGCCCGGCCCTGGGCGGGAGAAGTCATTTGATGATTTTCCCCTCACAAAAAAAAAGAAACAAAAAAAAACGCGCTTCTAACTGTCAGTAGCGATCGCTTACCATCACGTAATCCGTCGGGTATGGATAGGATTTTTGCAGAATAGAGAATTCTGTTTGTTTATACATTCTAAGGTCGGTGTTTGGAACACTCATAAGGAGGTAATAATGTCACCCTCGATGTAAAATAACTAGTAACATTACATTTCATAGGGCCTATAGGGCTGATGTTCGGGGTAGCGGGGCAAGCGCAATGAGGCACCTGGCCTCGGCCCAGAGCAGGAGAAGGGACGGGGAGGTTTTTAGTCAGTAAGAGTCTCTCCTCTCTCCCTCTCGCCTGACTCTGGGCGGGAGAAGTCATTTGATGATTATTTCCTCACAAAAAAATACATTTCATAATATGCTATGGTGCTTCGCTGCAAACCCCTTCAGGGAACAAAATGCGTAATGATTTATTATATAACACAGAAATGTGTCAGTAGGGCACTAATGTTTATAAAACTCTGTTATCTTCAAAAACATTGTCTTAGATAGCCAATTTTATTTTGTTTTAACAATCACTAACATTCACCTCTTCACCTCGGAAAAAAATAGTAAATACGTCGTAAAAGATACTTAGGTATCCAAAATATTTAACTTACCATCATCATCATCATCATGATGAGCCTATAAGTGCCCACTGCTGAGCAAAGGCCTCTTCTCATACGGAGAAGGTTTGAGCATTAATCACCACGCTCGCTCATTGCGAATTCGCGATTTCAAACGTATAATTAGAAATTATAAATCCAGGTTTCCTCACGATGTTTACCTTCACCGTATGTCAGTGGTGTCTAAATAATTATAGAAAGTACATATAAAAGTCACATTGATACGTGCCAGGTTTCGAAACCACGCCTTCATGCATGAGAAGTGGGCTCTTTTACCTCCGAGCCACCACGACATTTCTTTCATTCTTATGTAACTATATGTATTACACATATTCGTATATCAGTCCTTCAAATTTTAAGCGTCAATTATAAAACTCATTTAAGTGTGGGAGTGCCATGCTTCGGCACGAATGGGTCGACTTGACCTGAGTAACGCCGTAGTATCACATCCTTTCTTTGAGGCCGTGGCATCACAGGATGTCACAGACAGACAGACACGTCAAACTTATAACACCCCTCTTTATCCGTCGGGGGTTAAAAATAACTGTAACAGCCTAATATTTAATTTGTTTAAATGTAATATTCTATTTTTTACTTTATTTCTTTGTTGATATTTGAGTATAATCTTAAGTTGAAACTAATTTTATTGTTATTCCTTTAGTTAGTTTTCTTTTTACTGTTATTGTTACTTTAAGTCTAAGTACTTGCTTAAAGTGTTCCTGATTTGTATCAATAGGACGGGCATATATAGATGAAGGTCCTTTAAATAAATAAAGATAAGGATAACCAATCCTTTGATGCTTATTGAATCCACTAGCCGGACAGGACCTTGGGCTTGGTTGGAGCGTGTATAAATAATACTTCACATTGTTATGAATTATAATTTATTACAAAATATATTTACTTGACCACAAAATCTAACGCATTGTTCAGTATCACAGTTCAGAAATATGAAACTTTAATAAACTACTCGGGAACGCTTCTTCTCAATGCATAAGCAATCACGTCGAGGGGTTGAGGGCTGAGGTTCGTTACTTGCCAGCCACCATCAGGATAAACTCTGGTGCTGAAGACTACTTCTCCTTCACCACAGAACAACTCCAAGGAAGAAGCATCCAAAAAGATCCTCCATTGTTCAGAACCCAGAGGAAGCCATTCAACTTGCCTTATATCACCTTCTCTGTCCACGACGACTTTACGGACTTGCGGATCCCACCGCAACACAACTTGGCCACCACCATTGCTCCCTCTGATTAACAACTCAATATTCTGGCTCAAATCACCGGTTACTATAAGTTCTCCTGTCTTATCAAATGGGACAAATTCATTTTCCATAAGGTTGCCGTCCCACACTATCTCCTCTCTCAGGCTGGTTATCGTTTCAACTGGCTTCATTACAATACGGTTGCCCACTAACTCCAGCTCTCTGACGATAGTCATGGCTCCTGCCCAGCCGTCAACATCTTCTGGATGAGGAACGTCCCACATATTAAACCAAGCGACTATGTACCGTTTTCCATCTTTTTCAGTAGTAGTAGCAGCGTAGAAGTCATGGCCAAAGTCTATTTCTTGAAAACTAACTTCAGGCACGAATTCGAATGTTTCGTAACTAAACTTGCCGATTATATATCCTGTTTGGTGTACGTTCATGTATCGATCACCCTGAGGAACTAATCCCTGAGGAGACATCAATAAAATATGTTTTCCCTTAAGCTGGAAGAAGTCTGGGCACTCCCACATGTAGCCCATGTCACCCGAGGACTCTCCTATGACACTTAAAAATTCCCAGTTAATCAGATCAGCAGATCTATAAAGCAACACCCTGCCTCTTTCGTCATCAGTCTTGCTTCCAATCACAACGTACCAGTGATCGCCATGCTGCCATACTTTAGGGTCGCGGAAATCTGGGGATCCGTTAGGTGTGTACGGCAGAACTGGATTACCTTCGTACTTATGGAACTCTACACCGTCATTACTAAAGGCCAAGTACTGAGTCTCATTGTAGAAGGGTTCCTCTTCAGTTGTTCTACGTCCCGTGTACATTAATACCATTTCATCGTCTTTAACGACAGCACTGCCCGAGAAACACATTTCTTCTTCTGGTACTAAAGCTGTGGGGAGCGTCTTCCAGTCCACGAGATTTGGACTTACAGCGTGGCCCCAGTGCATGGGTCCCCACTGACTGTCATATGGATAGAACTGATAAAACAGATGAAACTCGCCTTTGTAGAATGAAAAGCCGTTAGGGTCGTTCATCCATCCTACTGGGGGCGCCACATGGTAGTGCAACCGGTACCTGGGATTGATCTCTGCCTTTTTTTCTTCTATATAAGCTTCTATTTCATTTATAGCATGATTCTGTTTTATCGTTTTTAGATGAACAACCGCGAAGAAACTGAGGAACACCACGCACTTTAGAATCGTCATTATGAAAAGATATAATCATCTCGTGTGGTAATCTCCTTATATAGTAGCTTCGGATCTCGATAAAATATTTCAAGTGTTTTGTTTTTAGATATTGATAATATCAGCAATGATTCGGTTTTTATATAGGACTGCACGCCTAAACAGTTATGCGAATATACAACAGCTAAGATGGAGATAAGATAAAGTTGTCGCGTTGGATGGGTCTTCAATCTTGAGACAGACAGAATTAATGCACCTATTGCAATATTATCTATACTTCGATAACCGTGACATATTGCAACACATTATCTACCTACTCACAAAATGTGTCTGCTTTAGAATTTTCAATTTATTAATAACCAACGACCTACCACGGTTTGACACAGGCGCAATGTTGATACTAAATTCCTCCTGTAATGAATGATAATGAAATAATATCTATTATTTATAAAAACCTTCCTCTAAAATCAAAAAATCATTCCTCTTAAATCATTAAAAAACCGCCTCAAAAACGGTTCTAAAAGCACCTTGTTTTATACTATGGGTGATTTCCCATATACTGACATTGTTAATCGGGTTAAAGTAATTATAAGATATTGAGTCAATAAGTCTTGGTGGCCCGCAAAGTTAAGGGGCCAGCTTCCCATGCTATTAATATTAATTCGAATGTAAAAAAAAATTAAGTACAATAACTATGGTGAAACATACTAAAATTAAAGATAACTCCTGTACTCCTACATGGGTAAAATACACCATGTGCTGTGACGCGTACACAGCTCCTGATTAAGGGTCATGTTGTGACTTGGAACGTAAGTTATTTCGGATAAATAATCAATTTATTATTAAAAAAAAAAACATTGCCCCACATTAGGATTTTCGCCTGTGTCATGGACGATTTGCAAACATAGAATTTCACATACACAAGCCATCCAGACCTGAACCAACAATTTGAAAATCAAACATAGTGTTATTGTGACACTTATTCTGCTTTCTATCATTATTTTGATATCACTGACCTTCACCGTAAAGGAAAACGACATGAAGATATCCGGAATTATAAGTTTAAATCGCCAATCCCGATAAGTAGCTCTGTATATGGTCAAAATCAAAACAATTATATATTTTAACATACTATATTTAAATATTTAAAACACGGTTGTTCCATAAAATACATTATTACACCCTAATCAAATTAATACAAAGATTTGAAAAAAGGAATTTAGATTAATTTTATATGTATAAAAAAATCTGAATATTGTAAATAGGAAGTTCAATTTATTCAGGCACACTTCTACTCAAAGTATACGCCACAACATCAACTGATTGTGTACCCAAATTTGTGATTTGCCAATTACCGTTAGGGTAAGCTCTAGAGCTAAACACTACTTCACCTTCTCCACAAAACACTTCTATGGAACTGGCATCCAAGAATACTCTCAAAGACTTTGATGAAACTGGCGCCCATTCTCCCTGCCTTATAACACCTTGCCTGTCCACGATCACTTTTTTTGCACTCGCATCCCACCTCAAACCAATAACATTGGTATTGTTACTCACGTCATTAACACCCCTGATTGCCAAACTAATGTCTTGCGCTAAATCAAAAGAAATAAGCAGTTCTCCTGTTTTTTCCAAACCCGTTATATTTTGGTTTTGTGCCAAAGAAGCATTATATACCGTTGACTCTCGTAGTTCAGTGATTGCGTCAATGGGTTTCATCAGTATACGGTCTCCGTTTAATGTCAACTCTCTAACGATTGTCATGGATCCTGCCCATCCATCTGCCCGCTCAGGGAACTCACCATCCCACGACCCCATCCACGCAATCAAGTATCTCTTGTTATTGCGCTCCATGGTCTGGGTAGCGTAGAAATCATGGCCATAGTCAATTTCTTGGAATGCATATTTTTCAACAAATTTACCTGTTTGGTAGTCAAAACTTCCAATGATGTAACCAGTCTGGAATTGATTCTGGTACCTATCCCCAGATGCGTTCATACCTTGCGGAGACATAAGGAGAACGTAGTTTCCGCTCAGCTCGAAGAAGTCTGGACATTCCCACATAAATCCCAGGTCGCCGTTTGAGGATGCCACGACGTTTAGAAACTCCCAGTATCCCAAGTCCGCTGATCTGTACACCAGAACTTCTCCCTTTGTATCTACAGTTTTGCTTCCCAGAACGACATACCAGTAATCGCCATGTTTCCAAATTTTAGGATCTCGAAAATCTTTAGCCGTGTTTGGTGAAAATGAGATGACAGGATTTTTTTTATATTTGGTGAAGATAACACCGTCGTTACTGAAAGCCAGGTACTGAGTTTCATTTGTGTCAGAATCTTTTCCTTTGTGTGCGGTGTATATGAGTACTAAAGTGCCATCCTTTTCAATAGCGCTACCAGAGAAAATCTGTTCTGTCTCTGGGGCTAACGCAACCGGCAGCTGTGTCCACTTCACTAAATCTTTACTAATCACATGTCCCCAGTGAATATTTCCAGTCGAGGTGTTGTATGGGTAAAACTGGTAAAATAAGTGATAGTTTTCTTTGAAGTAGGAGAATCCGTTAGGATCATTCATCCAGCCGACTGGTGGAGCTACATGATAGTGTTGTCTGTACCTTGAGTCAATCGTTGGTTTCGTGACATTGATGTATGTTTCTGCTTGAAGCTTGAGTTCAGTTTCTGCAGCTGATGGAGTCAGGTCACACGCGAGGGTGGTGGCGAGGACACCCAGTAGCGCCACGTATAGTTTAAGAACCGCCATGGCTGACTGTAACGTCATCGCTTAGGCACTCACATTTAAATAGGAGTGATCACAAGTACTGATTGCATCAAGAGCATCGATTAAAGTGTTTTGTTATAGATATATTGATGATAATAGATTATAACTATGCAGGTACCGTGGGCCTTCATGCCGTTTTATGTCACTAGCCTCCAGGCTGATGGATACCCTGAGTGGAGTTTTATAACAAATCGATACTGCTACAAAATTAAATGATTGATTTGATCCAACACGACATTTTTAAATCTCGGCCTAACTAATACATTGTGCACAGCAGCTTGATCGAATTGGTGTTGATTGTTGATGATCAGATTTTGAAGCATTTTTTTTAATTTCGTCGAGGACGCTCTGAACGATCTATCGTAGTAGCCCGGGGGATATGTCGTGATCGCCTGAAAGTTACAGACCCCCTTCTCATGTATGAGTGTTCGGAACCTAACAAGTACCAAGACTTTTTCCTAGTTATATGTACCTACTTTCTACGATTATTTAGACATTCCTGACATACGGTGTAGTAAAACAACGAAACCTGGACTTATATTTTCTAATTATGGGTTTGAAATTGTTAATCCGCTTTGAGCAGGCGTTTATACAATCCAACATTCTCCATGTGAGGAGAGGCCTTTGCTCAATAGTTGACACTTATAGGTTGATGATGTACAAACTGATAGCTAATATATTATTTTTGGAGGCGAGAACGAATATAGAGGTGTAAAGATGATATTACTAATTAATGAGGGTTTTCTGAAATGTCCAGTGAGAAGGCAGCGCTGTAACGTCAGGTCCAACTACCTGTCAAAACACATACACGATTTTTATTTTTCGATCATATCTTTGATTTATTTATTCTTAAAACGTTACAAACGGAATATTGTTGCCCAAAATGCACATTGCACATGCACAGTGTTGTGCAGTGCCTATGTGTGCAAATAAAAAAAGGAGAATATAAATTCCCTACAGAAGATAAAAGCCGATTAACAGTAGCTTGTAGCCATAGTAAAATCAATAACACTTCCAAATACACAAAATTTTACTAAAATAATAAAACTTTCGGTTAGAATCTGTGCTATCTGACAGCTGTTTGGACCTGACGCATACGAAGCGCCGCCTAGCGGCAGAAAAAGTATTGCAAACCCTCATTCAAACAGAAGCCGTATAATTGCTAGTTTCACCTCAGTAGGCACTACCATCAGTCAACAAAAATAGCAATTTTATTTGTTTCACCTTTCCACTGCACTATTCAAACACTCGAGATATTTCCACGACGCGGAATGTGAATCACTTACTTCACTATACTCCACTTAAGTGCTAACCTCACGACGAAGGGGAAACACTGGCGTGATGTCACGCACACATAGCTTGTTTTATTGTATTGATTACAAAATTTTAAAGCATATTATTATGTTTCACTCTATCATCATCATAAGTGTGGGAGAGCCAAGCTTCGACAGGAATAGGTCGGCTCAACCGGAGCGATACCATGGCCTTACAAGGAATCGGCGTGAAACAAACACAGCGTTGTTTTTCGTCGTGTGAGTGAGGTTACCAGAGCCCTAATTCTCCTCCCCCCCTCCCCGCGTTGCTACGGGTGTCCATGGGGTGGTAGCTTACCACCAGGTAATCCAGCTGTAAGTTTGCATACCTATCACATAAAAAAAAATGTGTTGCGATGCCTGACCTTGGTTATATATGCAGTCCCTTAGTCGACTCTATTGATACCCGGGAGAAGATTATTGGGAATCTACAACGTTATTACTCGGCACTTCGTTATCAATCCAAGTACCATTAATGTAGATTACAGTGTTAAGTGGATGACCTTCAAACTCAAGGTAGGCTGTCTGCAAATTGTTGCGCGACAATCTTCATGGATGTTCTCAACCTGGAACTGGGGTCAACTATCAAATGAATTGAACTTTTTACTGCACTGGTGCTCTTTGCCGAAGATCCAATCCGAAGTCTCGTGCGCACAATCGTAATGCCCTTTTTGACTAGCACAAATGAAGTACCGTGTCAGATTCTTGACGTTCAAAAGTGCCTACTGTGGTCTAATTGAAATAAATGATTTTTGACTTTTTTTTTTTTATTGTTACTGTCTAAAAACCTAGTCCTTATTTATTTTTGGAGCGAGCGCGCCGAATCGATGCGTCATACGCTTGGATTTGGTTCTGGCGGACTTTGGTCACTCATTTTATTTTTTGTTATGGGAATATCATCAAAATACCTCTCCCGCCCAGGGTTAGGCGAGAGAGAGTGTCAGACTCTTACTGACTAAAAATCCCCGTTCCTTCTCCTGCTCAGGGCCGTGGCCGCGGTGACTCATTGCGCTTAACCCGCAACTCCGGCTAACCATCAGCCCTATAAGGCCCCGTCGTTGGTGTTCTATCACTATATTGGTCACTGAAACGCACGCACGTGAAAACAAATTCTGTGTTTCCAAAATTGTAGAACTCGGGTGACTTAAAGTCTCGATAGATATGTTGGTTATAGGTATGCGTCCATCGTCAGCCACGTTATTGCTTTTGACCATACAAGTTAGAGGCCAAAGGTCAGGTCAGAAAGGTTAAATGTCTGATGATGTATCGTCCAAAATTGAGATTACAACTTGTGATCCCATAAACCATTGGTTGCTGTAGCGGATCCAACTTGTAACACGTCATTCAGAAGTGACCCTGTTACTAGGAGCAATCAGAACTTCAATATAATTCATCATTAACAATACACGCTAAAATTAAACATTAAACAGCTCCCTAAACATCAAACAAAAAATCTCTCAACATTTGAGTATTTATAAATTACATAGAAAGTTCAAAAAAAATATGTCTTTTGTTTCAATTTCGCTTTGCGGAATAACCTTTGAACAAGTGTATAGGATGATGAAAAACCACTTGCCACCGCCTCCCTTCCAACAAATTAGGCCTGAATGTAATTAATTAGTAGAAATTTAACGTGGCGAGTAATTTTAGGCTCCCGGAGCCCTGTAATTTGGACCTCTCGAGCCCAAATTCAAAGTTATTTCCTTAATGCCTAACAATTGCAGGTTTCCGATCAATCAAGGCGCAAAACGGAAGCAATTACTATTGTAATAATTAAAAAGGGGCAGGTCACGTTTCATTAAAGTTAAAAAAACGTGGTTTGTTTTTGTTAAATCCATTCATCCTTTTTAAAGGGGCGGGGGACGGGGAATCATCAAATGGCATCTTTCTCCCTGGAGCGGGAGTGTTAGACAATCAGACTATCTCTGACTAAAATAATAGTAATAAGAAAATACAAGTAGGAAACGATTTACATATAAACTACAGCCGAAGCGTGTTAAGCCATTTTCAAGGACAAACCTGGTGAACATCAACGCCACTCGAAATTGTATACCTTTGAGTAACTGAGAACAAGTGAAGTCAGATATTTGCCTACATATATCATCCTATCATTGTACGTTGTCCTCTAGCTAGGTGGACTGACGATATCCGTGGGGTGACTTGGTTGGATATGAAGAGCTGAACATTGAGCTCAGTGGCGTGTCATTGGAGAGGCCTAAGTCCAGCAGTTGACGAAATCAGGCTGATGATGATGATGATATCATGTTAAGTTATAGGAGCCAATATATTACATTTTACTATTTAGATCCCACTTCTTTTGTCATTGAAGTCGACCACCAAAACAGTTATCATAATATTCAACTGGTCAACATTTCACATTTGTTTTTCATGTGATAGGTCGGCAAAAGAGCTGACGGATTATCCGATGGTAAGCAATCAGCGCCGCCCATGGACACTCGCAACACCAAAGGAGTTAAGGGTGCGTTGCAAGCCTTTTAAGGATAAGGGTTTTACATTTTTAAGGATTGTGAAGAGATGGAAGAAAGGGATGTAGCCTCGCTATGTATTCTCTATCGCCTTTATCATGGGAAATGTTCTGAGGAATTGTTCGGTTTGAACCCCGCCGCATCTATTCGCTAAAAAAAAAGCGCAGGGATTGGTCCACCGGCAACCTCACGTTTCACGCCGGTTTTCAGTGAGGTCATGGTATCACACCGGTCAAGCTGACCCATTCGTGCCGAAGCATGGCTATCCCAAACTTAAAAAGTCCTGCCTGCGGAATGGGAAACCTGCAAATTATAACAAATACTATACTTCAAAATCTGCAACATTGCTAATACACCAATGCGTACATTAACCTAAATAAAAAAATTATTATTAAAAAAACAAAATACCCGACTGCACACTAAAAAAAGAGTAAAACAAGCCCCACAATACAAATTTACTGAATATAATTTATAAATGTTGATGGAAAGCATCGCAGGCGGGGACCAACAGAGGCTTATTTATAGTCATTTCTGTTGTGCACCATTTAGCAGAATTTTCGTTGGTGGCGGTCAAGGTGGTCCCCGCCTGCGATGCTTTCCATCAACATTTATAAATTATATTCAGTAAATTTGTATTGTGGGGCTTGTTTTACTCTTTTTTTAGTGTGCAGTCGGGTATTTTGTTTTTTTAATAATAATTTTTTTATTTATAACTTTTTAGCTGTTTTTATTTAACGAAAATGTTGTAGATGTAGAAGACTATGTATATGTAAGTACCATTTTAAATTATTTCGACGACATTTGGCTTTAGATTACGAGTGATGTTACTCCGCAACATATCCGCACCGCGCCGCGCGCCGCATGCCAGGCCACGCCCTATCTTTTTGCTTGCTAACGCATGAGTTGCTTTGCGTTGACGCAGAATTAACATGTTCCCGTGGGAATTTTGAGAAAAAACGTATCCTATATTAATTACTCCCGTGATTGAAATGAATCTAATGATACCGCATACATATTTTTTTAAAGGGAAATTTAGAAAAAATATTATTATGTCTTTATCCCGTGGGACTTTTAGGATAAAATGTATCCTATGACACTCCCGTAATCAAGACAAATCTAACGATACCTCATACATCAAAATCCATCAAGCCGTTTAGGCTACAGGAGGTCACAAAGGAACAGACATACATACATACTTACATACACTCGAAAAACATTACCCTCCTTCTTTGGCAGTCGGGTAAAAACAATATTATCAGTAAAATAGTATTTTTTCTCGTAAACATTCAACTCGATAACTATTGACGTCATTTAGTATTTACGGAAAAATATTCCTTAGCCTTTTGACCTATTCAATGTTTAAATAATGTCTGCCTAACACTGTTGTATTACATAATTATTTGCAATTCAGCGTCTTCGAATAAGACGCAGTATTTAGAGACTGTCTATGCAAATTGCTTAAAGCGCAAAATGCAAAGATAATAACTACAATGATATTATATTGTATCGTTCCGCCTTATGCACATATAGGCCGATTAAACTCTCGATATATCGCCAGTAGTAAATGTCGTGATGGTCCGCAGGTTTAGGACCTACTTCTCATGCAAGAGGTCACGTTCACGAGGATTAAACTTTCTAATAATAAGATTGAATTTGCCAATCCGCTTTGAGCAAGCGCGGTGGTTTATGGTCAAACTTTCTCCGTGTGATTTGAGGCCTTTGCTCATCCATTGAGACGTCCAGGCTAGTCCCTTACTCATAATCAGTAGCTTATAGCTGAAACTGGTGAGAACAAGCATTTTGCCATACACTTCAGACTCTATGACTTAAGTGCACACTGATAAGATCTTATAATAACCTTACTTAAAATAGTCTGTCAGTCAAATCAAAGCCATTTGGTCAACAGAAGAGCTTGCAACCAATACAGCTGAAGAAACCCTATCCACCTACATCAGGCATGACTCTGCTCTCTCTGCTATTACTAAAAAGTCGGAAACGATTCATTTAAATGCTTCATTGTGTCCAGGTGTAAGTTTTGGTCTTAAAATTATCATTTGTACAAGTGTCACCGCAACATTTACCGTTGGGTGTACAAAAAATTTCATCAATCTATACACTTTGGAACCCAAAACCTTTATTACTGGCCTCCAATTTCCACTTTGTGTGTGGAGCCATGCTTCGGCACGAATGGGTCGGCTCGACCGGAGTGATACCACGGCCTCACAGAAAACCGGCGTGAAATAACCACTGCGTTGTGTTTCGCCGTGTGAGTGAGGTTACCGGAGGCCCAATCCTTCCCCTTCCCCATTCCCTCCTCAATCTCTAAATCTCCAAATCCCTAATCTCTTAAAGGTCGGCAACGCACTCGTAACACCGGCGTTGCGAGTGTCCATGGGCGGCGCTGATTGCTTACCATCAGGTAATCCGTCTGCTCGTTTGCCGACCTATTACATATAAAAAAAAAAAAAAAAAAAAAAAACTTTTCATCACTACACCAACAAGGCTGATTAAAACAGTTCCTAATTTGGCTCATATGCTACAAATTAACGTATTAAACGTAGTACTTAAAACTGTATAATCTTCTTGTAAATAGGCAATCAAATGCAGAAGCCATTTTTTATTTTAAAAATAAAACGTTTCTGCCAAATAATTTCTTGGTCACACAATGAAAATGACTTCAATTAAAAAATCTTTCTCATTATCTACACGTTTAACGCTTTGGCTCCTTCATCATCCATTTAATAAATGTTTCATATTTCTTTATGCAAGATAAAGTATTTCCTTTTCGAGTTCGGTGCTCAAAGGGTAAAAAAATACCTTATTAATAAGGTTTCGCTCGTAGTTCATCTATATATCTGTCACTAGGCTGTATTTAAGTGTGGGAGAACCATGCTTCTGCACGAATGGGTCGGCTCGACCGGAGTGATACCACGGCCTCACAGAAGACCGGCGTGAAACAACCACAGCGTTGTGTTTCGCTGTGTGAGTGAGGTTACCGGAGGCCCAATCCTTCCCCGCCCCCAATCAATCCTCAATCCGTAAATCTCCAAATCCCTAATCCCTAAAAGGTCGGCAACGCACTCGTAACTCCTCCGTTGCGGGTGTCCATGGGCGGCGCTGATTGCTTACCATCAGGTAATCCGTCTGCTCGTTTGCCGACCAATTACATAAAAAAAACCGTGGTAGTTAGAAAATTGATATTGGGTCAAAGAAATGTGTGCGTTGGCTCCCGTACAACAGACGTGATTTTGAACTTGTGTACAGAGTAATACATTCCTTCCTTTTTTTTGGAAGGAAAATCATGAAATGACTTCACTCGCCTAGGGTATAGCGATGTGTCACACTCTTACTGCGTAAACCCCCATTGCTTCTCCTGCTCCATGCCGAGGTCACGGTATCTTATTGCGCTTGACATTCCTTCCTGCAGCTTGCATTTGCTTTAATGCGTCTCACGCGAGCGACAAGTAATGTTTGTGTATATTATTGTGTGTTTATGTTTGTATGTATGTACCTATATCCTCAATCACTTACCTACATAAATGGCAAAGACTAGACGTAAGATTAATCTATTTTGTTTGTTAATGACCTCTTGAGGCAATTGTATTCTAGTATATTCATTGATGACTTTCTTCTTACTATCGGGTACTTCACAACTACGTTTAAATAGAAATCGTTTTCTATTAATTTTGTACGTGATAGTTTGTTGTGAAGTTTTGTTCTATTTTTACTAGTCTAAATTTACAAAAGAACGAACATAAGTAGATATACTTATCATTAAATCAATAAATGAAAATTTGATTATTGCTTAACATTTTATTGCATTCGACAGTTACAATAGTTTTTTTTACCAAGTCAAAATCAAAAACACACCACAATCAAACAAAATCACACCTAGTCTTAATATGTGGGTTATGTACCCATGTGTGATTTTGAGCCTACTCTCTATTAACAGGGGTAAATAGAGGATAATGAGACAAGAGAATATAATGTGAGATAAAAATAATTTATTAATAACTCTTAATTATTACACAACTTACTCCTAGACACAACTGTCTTACAACCATCAGTTATCGAGACATAGGTGTGACCTCTAGTAGTCTCGGCTCTTATCCATTAAAACCAGGTCAAGGCATTCCAAGAAAATCATTATAAACATTAGAAAATTAATCTAAATATATCACAGACTTATCAATACTTAGTATTAAATGCACAGCCGGAAGTTGTAGCCGTTTTTAGCCTTCCTGCCAATACCCTTGCGCCTTAGTACGCGTAACCTTCAATGGAGGTCTCCTCGAGTTTACTTCGTTTCCACATTTATTTGTACAAGGAAATTAGAACAGAAATACACGTGGTTAGAAGGTAATCAGAATGTAAAAGCAATCTATTTCCCAGCTTCTTGATTCTTCGGAATAAATCATTTCATGCAATATATGTGAGTAAGTATACGAATTGTTCAAATTGAAACAGATCTCTTTTCAAAATGTGTTATAAAACGCTGAGAAACGTAACAGTATCATCGTTTTCTAATTTCATACTTTGATCAGCAATTTTAAGCCAGTCATAATGGGTATGTCCTTCAAAACCTTACAGTAAACGAATAGTCTGGCATGTGTGTTTCTAGAGAGCTTAGAATCTCATTATTCAGTAGTCTGGGAGCGTCAATCGCCCACAAATAGTCTAAATGGTTGAACTTCTCATCAGGAACCAGGAACATGTCAGGCTTCACGGGCAACTTGTCATAGAGTGCCCGCACATCCCTCTCACTTGATAGCAAATCGTTTTTAGACCAAAACAACTTGATTGGAAGAGTTACCTTATTCAGGTCATAATTAGGGGGCGAGCTAGTTCCATAAACTCTCCAGTTTTTCCAGTACCCATAGTCAAACTGCGCGAATTTACCAGAAAGTATTTCTTGCGAGAAGTGCACCGCTGTCTTCCAAGATGTTCCTGTTCCAAGATGTGACAGAAAAACAGGAAGCAAGGTGTTGTTGAACTGCTTCTCATTAAAACCACACAAGTAGAACACTATATTCTTGCAGATCAAAGAATCCATGTTCTCTCCGCTACACGTGCTAGAGATCTGACCGAGCGCTGAGTTTTTAGGAATAAACTCGTAGGTACCTTGCAGTGAGTCTAGGTAGGCCAAGTTACTGGCAATTGGTGCCATAGACTTCAGCGGTGACTTCATATCAGACAGATACACCACTGGAGCTAGCGCGAAACCAGCCGTCAAGATATTATTATATTCCGGCCTCAAGGTCAACATTGCAAAAAGAATTGTAGTTCCCATTGAGTGGCCAATGTAGCTGATCTTCGTGTCGGTGCCTTTAATTTCCATGATGTAATCTATAACCGCTGGAACATCATACAATGCAACTTCGTGCCAAGAGAAGTCCCAATATTCTTCTGAATTCGTCTTGTACCAAACATGATCCTTTGAATACCGGTTCCCTCTGATATTAGTCATCCAAACATCGTAGCCGGCATCGGCTAGAACGTAGGCCAGTCCTTTGCCAGGACCGTTCATAATCCAATCAGCAGAACTTGCAAATAAACCATGTTGAAGGAGAACCGTCTTCGATGACACATCTGAATGGCTCCTGGACCGTGGAATTCTGTGCACATTGAGAACATACCCTTGAGAAATGACGGTGTGTGTCTCACATATGTATCCGTGTCTGGTGATTATTCCTGGCACAGATAGAACTATGTCGGGGTTGTCCAATAGGGAAGTTTCCCTTGTACTGTAGGTAGAGTCCACGAGGTGTCTTCCGTTCTCTTGAATGTCATCGACATAGTCGCTAAACTTGTCCTTGATCATCTGCTGTTGTTCCTCGACGTAGTTTTCGACGGAGCCTTTCATGTTGGTGGCATCGTTGTACCAAGATACTACATTATCACCTTGTTCTTTAAGGAAGTTGTCTAATGACGGGACCAAGGGCCACGAGTTGGGCGCGGCTGAGGCTGCGCTCAGGGTTATTAGGAGCAGAGCGACGCGCATGCTGATGTGTGTAAGTTGTGACTGTGCGCGAGACACTGGGGCATCAATAATATACTAGGAGGCCACGACTGACCCCGGAGATGGGGTTAACACGTCACAAGATAACATTTAATTGTCTGTTGTTAAAAAAAACCCGTGTCATTTTTATCATGTACTTACTTCACACGGAGTCTTTTAGCAGAATGTACTAAATAATATTACTGTGTCTATTAAGATAATTAATAATTGCAATGAGTTATTCGTCACCACTTATGCTGCAGATTAGGGTGGAATTTTAAGTAGTTCTTATTATAAATAAGTCTTACATGAATTGAGGTCACACAATTACTCACTAAAAATCCTTGCAGTCATTATGAATACATATTTAAACAGTTACTATGTGCATTTGTTTGGATAATTTGTACTAATCACATCCGTTATGTGGTTACTAATGCTATGTCATTAACTTACAGTTCGGGGATACCCTCTTATCAGGTTCGTGGGAAAATTACTTTCTTAATAGTTGTCTCCTATTTAGTGACACATTCATTTCTCTATCTATTGCCTAGCTACTAATCTTATGGCACATTTAGGGGTGACGTCACTGATTTGTCAATTGGGTAAGATTTGAAATGCGAACTGTAATATGTAAGCTGGGGGTCTAGCAGAATAAAATATTTTATGGTAATATCGCGTGTGAAACAAAATTACGCATACCATACACATTTCGTTTTAAAAAAATATGATATTTAGACAAGCTAAAGTTATTTACTTTTGTTCATAAAATGAACATTAAGTTTTAAAAATTCTAGATTTCTACCCCGAAATAAACACAGATACAAACAAATCGCTATCTATATTTTAATAAACTTTTAACCTATACTAAATACTAAATATGTGTAAATGATATTCAAATTCACGTTTCATTAACAGTTCAGTTGGGCGCACGAATTATTACAATTAGATAAACATTTAGGTATTTTGCGCTCCACAGTTCCTGCCTGTTACAAAAATAACACCTCTAAAGGGTTATTCTCGAATTTACTATTAACCATTCAAAGCTTGGTTTAATTTCTGACATGAACGATGGCTGGACTCTGTCATGCTGGATGTGAATTTGCTCATTATGGGCCTTTCATTTTCACCATGTCGACAAAGTTACGAAGTGGGTTGCAGGTCAAGCCCAACACGGTACCGCAGCCTCGGCTTGGAGCAGGAAAAGGAACGGGGTGTTTTTTAGTCAGTAAGAGTCTGACACTCCCTCTCACAAAATCCGAGAAAAGTTAGAAGTAGATTCCTATTCCTATCTCTGCCTTACAAGGCTACATTCATGAAGAAGTGCTCTGTGTCAGCTTCGGGCTGATTTAAGAGAAAATCATCAAATGACTTCTCCCGCCCAGGGCCGGGCAGGAGGGAGTGTCAGACTCTTACTGACTAAAAACCCCCCTGTTCCTTCTCCTGCTCTGTGCCGAGGTCGCGGTGCCTCATTGCGCTTACCCCGCAACCCCGGCTGAACATCAGCCCTTTAGGGCCCCATCTGTGGTGGTCTAATGGCTCTTTGAGGCGCGCGCGGAACGCTACGCGCCGTACGCTCGGGCCTGGTTCTGGTCGGGCGGCGAGCTGCCCTTACTCGCCGACCGCAGGCCCGTGCTTACGGGGGCCGGAGATCGTCCCTTGATCCCCGACGCCCGTAGTGTCGCCAGTTGCGGCTGCTGGGGCGTGAGGAGGAGGATTGCTCCCTCACGCGGGCCGCCTCTCTCTTTGCGAGCATGACTGCTTCACAAAAGGAGGAGACGGCGTCCCAGTTCCTCTCACTCCGCACCATGGCCTCGACTAAGGCCGGGCGCGAGAGGTCGCCGCCGCCGATCACTTCCCTGAGGATACGGCGGTGCTCAGCCCAGGCAGGGCATACCGCTACCGTATGCTCCACCGTATCCTCTAGGTGATCCTCACAATGACGACACTCGGGCGTTTCCTCCCGCTGGATCCGAAACAGGAACCTACCGAAGCTGCCGTGCCCGGTAAGCACCTGCGTCAGACGGAAGGTGAGGACGCCGTGGCGTCTCTCAAGCCACTCCTCAAAGAGGGGTCTTACCGCTGCTATGGTAGCGTGCCCGGCCCTCGGTTGCGACAGTCGTTGTTTCCACTCTGCCATGAGATCTCGCCGGAGCTCATTCCGCCACGCACTAATTTGGCGCGGCAGAGGATCTTCGCCCCGGCGACGCGCGTCTGCGCGCAAACTGTAGACGCGCGCAAGCGCCTTCGCTTCTAGATCCCACGGCGGTGATCCGGCAAGGAGGTTCGCCGCCTCCCCGGAGATCGTGCGATATCCGCGGATTATTCGCATGAAGCCATGACCCTCTGGGACGCGACCAGCGTACGTGCCGGCCGCCGCTTTAAGTCCGGCGCCCACACAGGGGCACCGTAGAGGGCCATGGATCGCACAATCCCCATATACAACCTCCGGCAGGAGGCGTTTGGCCCCCCGAGGTTGGGAAGGAGCCGCTTGAGCGCGGCCCCAGACCGTTCCAACTTAGGGGCCAAACGACGAAAATGCTCTGTGAAGTTCCATCGGCTGTCGAGGACGAGACCCAGGTACTTCATCGCCGACTCGACGCCGATGGTAACTCCTCCTGCCGTTATTTGGGACCCACCTGGAGGTGGCGCGTTCCGACGGCCATAGAAACACATGGCCTCGGACTTGTGGAGCGCCACCTCGAGTCCCAACTGCCGGATCCTTGCAACGACTGTCGCAACCGCTTGTGACATCAGGTCGGCCGCCGCCTGATGCGACCTCCCGTTCGCCAGCACCAGCGTGTCGTCAGCATAACAGACAATGCTGACGCCGCTCGGGAGGTCGGTGCGTAGCACCCAATCGTACCCGATGTTCCACAGGAGAGGTCCCAGGACCGATCCCTGTGGGACACCGCGCGACACCTCTCGCCGATTCCACACGCCCCGGTGACCGGGGTAGATGACGCATCTGTCCGTCAAGTAAGCCTCGACTACACGACGGAGATAGGCAGGCACCCGGTGATACCGGAGTGCCTCCAGAATGCAGCTCCAGGGCAACGAATTGAAGGCGTTGGCGATGTCCAGAGACACCGCCACCACGACTCGCCCCCTAGCCAACGCAGTCCCCGTCGTGAGGTCCCTCACGCGCATGATGGCGTCCACCGTGGAGCGCCCTCTGCGGAAGCCGAACTGGCCGTCCGCTAAATCCGGCCCCCTTCCAGACAGGTGCCCGACGAGGCGGTCTGATATTATCCTCTCGAACAGTTTTCCCACCTCGTCGAGCAGCACAATGGGCCGGTACGCGGACGGAGAGTCCGCAGGACGCCCCGGCTTCTTCACGAGGACCAGTTTACCCGTCTTAAAGAGTAGCGTGTGCGTTGCTGATCTTTTAGGAATTAGGATTTTGAGAATTTAGGGATTGGGTTTCTGGTAACCTCACTCACACGGCGAAACACAACGCTGTGGTTGTTTCACGCACAGGGTGATAGTGATGATGATTTTGATTAAGAAATAAGAATAAAGGCCTGATGTTATGTTATATTAAAAGCAGACAGTTACGCACGTGCTTTGTAACGGTAATGGAGATTGCAATTCTTTGGGTTCCCTAGGCACGCGTCATTGTACAAATCATAATATGTAATAAGAGTATCGAGATAACGTACACATGTTATTCTCGTTTCATTATTATTATTATTTATTATTTACAATTAACAGCACATTCACACACGTATTGTTATTGTTAATTTACAATATATTATACGCAATAACTGTTAAATCGCTTTAACTTTATTATCTTTGTGTTTTGAAGTATTGATTTCTGCAACTGAACGATCAGGAAACATTTTTTGTTTCAATAAACGTCGCCCCACTAAGTTTTGGTCCTTTGTCGTGGATGCGTTTACAAATATACCTACGTACAATTTCACATATACATCACATCCAGACCCGAAACAACACGGAGGCCGCCTTCGACATTTTCTTGAAGGTTAAGGCAAGGTAATAATATCTACGATATTTTTACTGTGGTTAAGGCAACCAAAACCTGGCTAGGAATAATGTGACTTTTCAAGTTATGTACATAATAAATATGTACTTTTTAAGCAGGCCCAATCCTAGTCCAGTGTAACCGATGCGATCATTTTTATTTCAAATCAAATCAAATCAAATCAAAATCATTTTTATTCCACCTAAACCATAAAAAGGTACTTTTGAAACGTCAAAATAGAATAGTAGTCTGTCAGTCTGTTCGTCAGTAGAACTAGGTGCTCGTTCCAAATTGTAACTTCGTATGGAGAAGAACGAGCAAGAAACGTCCATCGTTACCCTTTTTTTAATATTATTTGTTTTACAATAAATTCACTAATAATACTTTTTGTATACATTATTGTACCCCTATGTGAGAGCAATGCAAAGATAAGTTGTAAAAAAGAACCTATTCCTTACATCTATCAAAAAATTAATAGTATCGGCACTGCTTATAGATAAAGGTATAGGTATTAAAATTTAGACACTACAGACTTACGATGAAGGAAAACATTGTGAGGAAACCTGGACTTATAATTTTTAATTACTTTTCAAATTAAATGTCATCCCACCTTAATTCTCTGTGTGACAAAATGCCTTCGATCACCAGTAGGCATTTATTAACAAGCTGATTTTTCTAAAAGTATTGAATAGGTCCTGTTTTTAGTGTACATAAATGATTTACCTCATTTATTTCAACGTGAACCGGGAATGGTATTATTTGCTGATGACACATCGTTGATTTTTAAAATAAATAGACGGACAGATAATTATGACGACGTAAATAATGCTATAACGAAGGTTCATAATTGGTTTACAATTAATAATTTAGTCCTAAACGACAAAAAGACTAAATGTATACGATTCAGTTTGCCAAATGTTAAAAGTAACGAATGTGACATATTATTAAACAGTAATAAATTGGAATTTGTAAAACAAACTACTTTTCTGGGTATAACCATAGATGACAAACTACAATGGGGGCCCCATATCACATCTCTGGCAGGACGGT